TGCATGGATTTCTAATTAGCTTTTGTTTTGGCTTGGAGTACTCGGTGAGTTTTATGCTTTAGCATCCTTGCATGCATGTGAGTGACTGCCATGATAGCATGCTTACCATGAGGCTAATTGCTTATGTGATATATCTGCCTGAATGCCTGTGGGTGAAGGTTGGGTTACTTGGATTGAAACAAATCATCAAACTGTCAGTTTTAAGCCCACTAGATAGTGGCAAAATCATGTTTTCTAAGCCCACCCGAGGGTGGCAAATCCACGTCTTAGCCTACTTGCGGGTAGCACCATCAAACCATTTTCAAACAAACAAACATGAAATGTTTTGTTCCAATTCAGGCGATCCAGTCTATACTTGTATGCTGTGCGCATCACATAGTAATATAGGCTAACAACCGGAATAAGAACACATAATGTTTTCAAAAATAGATATCATGGTTAGTAGAGGTCGATCTTTGATCGGGCAAGCGGGGGTGCTCACGAAGTGACCTTCCCCAATCGTACCCAAGTTCCCGAGCCGAGGCAACTTTGGTGATGACGGACACGTGGCCTTTGGCACCGAGTCAGGGTTTTCTAAATTCCCCCTTAATAAAATATTTAGGTGGCGACTCTGTATCTGGCAAAGCAGTCCATGTTTGGCACTTCTTTCAAAATCTGTTTTCTCAAAACGATTTGCCGGATTTGGACTCTTTGGTTCAGATTTAGAACCGTGACAAATTGAGAGTCCGAACTGTAGTGAGCCCAATATCGAACGGAACGGGGGACTCGTTCCTCCCGGGGCGTTCGAGGACGTCTACAGTAGGACTAACATCTTTTTCAACAATTTCCCGTGCAGATTGCGAACTACCATCCTTATCTGATCTTTTTCGGAAGGTCGTGTGGTCATCATTGAAGCCTTGGCCCTCCACCTTGTCACGAATTATGAGAAGCCTTCCTTTGGCTCCTGGCACGTTGCATCGAGATCACGAGTTGTGACTTCGATTTGTGTCTTGTACAAGTACTGTGCAACGAAGGCCTCAACTATTTCTTCCCAACTCTGCTTCACAGAATCCTCTAGCTTTGCATACCATATAGTCGTTATTCCCGACATGGTCCGACCAAATAGTGAGAGCTTCTGCAGTCTGGTCAGGCCCATCAGCCGCAAAATGTCTAAAAACAACCCCAACATGCCTCCCCAGGATCATTATAACCCATCAACTAAACATGCCTTTTCAGAGTCATTATGACCATGCAGAAAATCAGAGCATCTTCCGACCTAATCGACGCAACCCCTAGGTTGCTTGCTGATGTCATGCACGCACAGGAAAATAGGGGGTGTCCCCACGCTTATAGGGGGCAAATGTAGAGGGTCAGAAATTAAACTCCAAATTAAGTATGGGCCTAAGTGCTGAGGTCGTCCCTTTTAGGCGACCAAGAATGTCTAAAGGAGCATGGACTAAAGTCCAAGAGAAGTGGGCCAATAGTGGACCGAAGCAGGTCCGACCCGCTAAAGATCCTAATAGTCTCCACGAAGGAAAATGTCTAAGTGAAGTTGCAAAGGCAACACTTGCAGCAGCCAAGTTGCTGAAGCACTTTGCCTCAACGCCGCCATTCCCAATATTGTCGGTTTCACCGCCATCTGAAGTTGCTAAGGGAAATAGAAAACTGAAGAAACTAAGTTACAGAGGCAACACTTGCAGCGACCAAGTTGCGGAAGTACTTTGTCATCGTCGCCATTCTTAATATTGTCGAGGTAGCCATTTGGACTTACAACGGGAAGTGGCCACCACCACAACTACGACTACCACCGCAACTAACTTGCAAAGGAAGGTACCCCACCAACGTTATAGCAGCCTTAGAAAAAAGTTTCTCCTCCTCAAGTAAAGGCTGATAGCAAGCCTAGGACTGATAGCAGGTTCCATATCTCACTGGTTGGAGCTGATAACAGGCCCAAAGGTAAACCAGTATACCGCGACAACCCCGCAAAGATGGGAGCAGGGTAGCCCGAGTGTAAAGGACTCCCTTTCCTTTACCTAGGTCATGGACCTGCCTTAGTCGCATAGGTAGGACTTAAGAAAGCCCCCTTGGGCTTGGTACTAAGGTACAGCATGGCTGACAGCAGGCTTAGCCATGGCCTTCACCTTGGGAAGCTGGGGAGTTTGTGGTTAGGTGGCTAAAGGTGGAGGTTTCGCTGAGAGGAACACAAAACATGGCCGTTAGCAAGCTATGAAGTCCTAAGAATGCATGTATTGGCCAAACTAAATTGAGAATGTAAGTGCAGCGGCAAGGTTTTACCACCGCAAGTGCACTTACCGAGGTTCACACTGAGAAGACGAGTTGCAGCAGCAAACACTCCCGCCGTAAGTGCACTTCCTGAGGCGTCTGTAAGGTTCATGTTGAGAAGGCAAGTTGCAGCGGCAAACACTCTTGTCGCAAGTGCACTCGCTGAGGCAGTTGTGCCAAACAGATAGTACATAGTACATGCAGAGGGACACGTGTCACTCCCAACCTGGTAGCTCAAGGCAGAATATTTCATGTGATCCACTTGGACACATGTCTTCTCTCTATTTGGCCACTTGGTATCCTCTTGGTACTAAGGAAAAGCCTATAAATATGACCCATTTCCCAGCCCAGTAGAGGATAATTGGGGATTTAGGGGAGATGCTGCCCATTTTTGTGCACTGCCATACATTTCTCCTTGAGCTACTTGCTTCACCCTCGCTTAGCTACTTATCCTCCAGCCATCGCACCATTGTTGGACCATTAGCATAGTTTTGCCTCTTTAATCACTACTCACACTGAACCCCTCCCTACAAGGTGTAAGGTTAAGATTAGAATATGAAAGGTTAAAAATGAAAATAAAGTTAAAATTTTACATTAGGGCCAAATGCCCGTCTCCCCGTCTTATTTTCCCTCTCTCTTTCATTTTCTTTTCTCTATTCTCTCATCATCTTCCCTCTCCCACCCTCTTTAACTGCCAGTCACCCCCTCCTACCTTTTCTAATCGTTGCCAACCTCACTCTCACTGTAATTATTTTAAACAATAATGTTAGGCATCATGAAAAGCCTTAATGAAGATTCTCCATCCTTTGATTAGTTTGTAATTGTATGTTATGCAATCACCTTTAGATTAGTTTCCTAAAACTTTTCATGATATTTATTCTATGATGTCTAGCATTACTCTATTTTAAATTCTCTATCTTTGCAATTATTTCTTCTATTTTTCTTTTTTTCTTTTTTTGTTGTTGTTGTAATTCTCTCTAATTATAAATCCAAATTTGAAATTTCTCTGTCCAAAGGTCTAGGCATTAAAATATTATGTCAAAAAAGACAAGTTTTTGTCAAATGACCAAAATACCCATTCTTTTATACATGCACAAAAGGATCATTCTAAACCCTTAATCACTGAAACTCTCTCTCTCTCTCTCTCTCTCCCACATACATCTTCTTTTTCGCTGCCGCCTGCCATTGTAATTGCCAAAGCTCTGTCGCCATCTTCTTATTCTTCTTCTTCTTCTCTCTTTCTCTCTGTGCTCATTCCATCATCTCTCTCCCACTCCTCTCATTTTTGGTTCACAAGTCAGAAATGGAGATATGTGCTCTGTATTGACTTTGCAAATCGACGGCAATGGCGACTTTTCTCAAAGCATCAGTGACGCTAGTTCCCTGGCCGCTCGCTACCGAGTTCCTGAAGAATATCCTCACGTAGGGCTCCACCACTACCGTTGCTACTTCCACAACTCCCAGCGCCACTGGGGCATGCTCCTGAGACAATCCGCAATCAAAGTTGTCGTTGTCGCTGTTGCTAGTGATGACAATGAAGTACTTGGATTTGAACTGCTTGTGCTCCATGAATTGGATCGGGTAGAAGGAAAGGAGTCCAATAAGGGTGTAAGAGCCGAGCTTCTTGTATTCGTTGGGGTTGGAGGTGGCAGCCGTAGTAGAGAGGGTGGAGGTGGCGGAGCGACGAAAGGTGAGGGGGAGTTGGATATGGGGCCATGGTGGAAAGAACTTCATTGATTTTCTTAGTGTGAAGCAATTTAATTTGATTTTCAATGCTTGTCTAGTTGATCTTGTCAACCAGCTACAGAGAAGAACTTTTATAAAGAAAACTTTTCTACATACAACTTTTGGAAGAGGGACAAGCAACTGAAGTATTCAAAATATTTCTTTATTTGGTATAGAAGATGGCAGATCTCTAGTTGGAACTTGATGACGAGTTCTTTCAAAGAAGAGAAGTCTGATGTAGGACAAGATTTAGGAATTTTTATATTTTTTCTTTTAATATTTTTGATATATTATTTGATTAGGATTCTTGTAATTTTGTATAAATATTTTAGAATTAGATTTCTTAGTTTAGATTTATTTTATTTTCCTAATTTCTTAGGTTTTTGATTTTCTAAGAATTAGATTAGTTTATTGTTTTCTAATTTGAGTTTTCTTGGTATCCAATAATAATTGGTCTCTAAGATTTACATTATTATAAATAGTTATGTAACCATTATGGCAAGGAGACTTTTATGGAATATATTTCTTCTGAATTTCCTTTTCTTGGGGGCTTCAAGGTTTTATTTTCTCATGGATTCGAGAGCCATTTTCATCTACTAGAATAATATTTAGTCTCCCGTGTATTCTGCTGCGTCACCTAGCATACCCTCACTTTACTTTAGCTTTAGATCATAATGAGTAGCACTTGATTTATAACTTAAATCACTTTAAATGTACCTAATTTGATTAGAGAAATGGCATTTAATATCAAATGAAAAGCTTAAAAAAAAAACATGTCTTTAGAAAAATGGTATTTATTGTTGGCTATTTTTGACATTTCAAAAGTTAGAAATGTAATTCAAGCGTACCAGCAAGAATATGAAAAGTCCTTACAAATATTAAATGTCAATTTTTATCAAGCGATTGTGTTAAGGTTCTCTTAGCCTCAATAAAAAGGACTTTACTGCGTTGTGTTGAAAAGAAAAACCAAAGCTTTTAACTCAAATTAGTAACAGAATGAGAGAAAGGGACTGGGCAGAAATTGTAATTGATTAACTGAATAAACAATTACAAAATGTTACTTTTAGTAAAGGCAAGTTCGAAGCTTTTAAACCGACCGAGTTCTGGAATTACAAGTCTGATCTACTCCTATGAAATGTAAGTGCAGTGTATAAAAGTAAAACGCGGGAATTTAAAATGGAATGGACAAAGATGTAGAGTCTGGGTTTTGGTCGACGCCTTCTTCAGTCTTTGCTTCCATCTATAGTCTTCTCTTGGCACCTTCGAAGCAGTTAGGCTGATCTCTTTCACCATGATCTCCTTCCTTCTCCCTATTTCTTAGGGCCATAATATTTTCTTCGTACGTGTAGCAACTGCTCTTTATTAACTTCCTCTTCACATGCCTCTTACAAGTTACTTATAATGCTTTCCAATTGAAGAATTGCATTCGAAGCTCACGTGGACACCTTCGAAAGTAGGGCTCTTCGGTATTTGAATACCCTTTTCTTCTCACGTGTCGTCTTCACACTAGATGGTTTGAATATGGCGCGAACAAATATCAAATGAAAGGCTTAAAATAACTTGGTGCACTACAACAAATCAAGATCGATACTTCAATCACCAATACCTTGCAAAACTTTTCTTATAAGAATTTTTAGCAAGTTGTCTAAGGACATGTTTTCTTTTCCCAAATATGTCTCATTTCACAATCTTTCACCATTAATGACATTTCTCAACCAAGATTTCACAGATTATACAGAGAAGAACAAAATACTATATATATTCTCAGAAATGGGACTCATGATTCATCATTTCAATGGTTTTTTTCTTCTTTTTAGGATGTGGTAGTTCACTATGATGCATTTTTATCTCATAGCCTTTTCTTGATGTAGTGCAAAGTGTTTTACTTTTTGATTACAACAATAAATATAAATATAAATAAATCGCAAATCAAAAAAAAAAAAAAAAAAAAAAAAAAGGGGGAGGAGATGTCATGGCCCGAACTCATGACTTGGCAATAGTAGAGATTGAAATGTCCAACCTCTGGACCACATTGTTCACTGCAATTTCAGTGGTCTTCTAGAGTTTGATAAGTTGAGCCAATTAATCCAATGAACTCAATTGCAACACTAACAGCATTCGCTGCTGCCAAAGTATACAAGCTACTCAATGTCAACTTATCTATTGCACCTGCCATGTCCGACACCCCACGAAACACAATGCAAGGCACTCCACTTGTCAAAGCTGTCTGCATAAAGCAAACATAGTTAAAAACCGAGAAATTAAAATGTTATTACATACGACTACTAGGTTTACAAACCATTAAGACTGCAGAACTCTCTTCATCCACGGTTGAGATGTTAAATTCGCTGAAAAGAAATTTTCTGTACGCGACATTGTCCAAAAATATATCAGCAGTAGAAGCTCTCAATCCATAAACAACTTGTGGTGTTCCAGGCAAGCAATATGTCTCGTTGACGCATTGTACTAACTTCATATCCTGTAAAACTTTTTTCCCAAATTAATATTCCACACTAGAATTATGGCCGTGAACCATTTTGGTAATCAACTGACATACATACTTGGAGCTGAGAAGCGAGACTGAACCATTTTGGATCAATTGGAAGCCAAAAGACCTCTTCCATAGGTCGTCCATTGGAGTATAACTGTTGTGATGTGAACTCTATTTTTGCTAACAAATTGTCACCCTTCTCTGGGAAATTGTACGCCCCAAACTTCAGTTCTGGCAAATCTCCTTTCTCTGAGTGAAACTCCTAGAACATGAGGGATTATACGAATTACCACCCTAAAAAAAATTCCCACACAAGTACTAATAAAAGAAGCATATAAGAGAGAGTTTAGTCGTACAAAAAAAAAACTACACGAGTATTAATATGTCTTCCATGCTGTGAAATTCTTTTGTGCAAGTAGCACAACTATGTATATTACCTTCCAATTCCAAGAACCGGTGAATGCAACATATTTAGGGATGCTAACATCGCCAAGGGACATTGAGTCATTAGCACTTCCAGCAATACCATAGTGAACAATGCCCTTAATATCGAAGACATCAAGAAGGATTTGCACAGTAATACCTGCATTTAACTGAGTTTGTACCCAAAAAAAATAAAAAAAGAAGAAGAAAAGTTTCTTGGCAAAATGAGAAGTGATTAATTTTTGAATAGCTTTCATTTTGAATATGAAAAGAAAATAGATCGAGTGTAAATAAGAAAAAAGGAGAAAAATAATATAGTACCGTTTGCTCCCCAGTCATTACATAAATCACATCCACACCCTTAATCTTGCCAATGTTGAATGTCCTTCCTGATCAACCAATATTTCAAACTGAATCATTCACAATGGCAATTCATTGACTTAATGATTATTTATTATGTTAAAAAAAACCCCTTCGATCCCACAACAAGAGTTACATCTCTTTTCTATTTCCATGTAAGAGTTATTATGTGTTTTCACGCCCTTTAAAGACCCTGGAAAATGGACAAATTCTACTGTTGGGGAATTTTCAAAATTAATACTTTTAGTTTTTTAGTGTTTTAAAACCTTCCTTGTATTTTTTTTTTTCGAAAACTTGAAATAGGCTTGGAGACTTTATCCTACATTAGAAAAAGAGGAAAACATGGAGCACTTAATATTAAAGAGTTTCATAGAATATTCCTTTGACTATGGAATTGTGGAATTCACACACACCGTAAAGATGGTGAAACACCATCCGCACATGCGCGCGTGGGCAGTGTGGTGCACTTTGCACTTAGCACAAATGCAAAGCAATCCTAAAATTCTCTCTCTCCCTCTTGATTTAGAGTTTTCGATCAAAAGTTTTTTAAGTAAGTTTTTGCTTTCCTTACTGATAATTATTTTTTGCAAATTTGATTATCAGTGTCTTGATTGTTTTGATTATATCGAATCGAGAGTGTTTTGATCTACTATCGTCAATACAGACTTTATTGTATCCTAGAGGTGAATTTGCAGTAATCCCCTACACACTGATTGGTGGGTGCAAATATTATCTTTAGAAAAGCGACTCGGCAATGCAACTCGGTAACGTGACTTGAAGCACTTATTTTATGTTCTACATAGACAAGTTCATCGCCAGTTTTTGAACACCCAAAAACCACCAAGTGAAAAGTTCTAGACAAATTTCTCAACGAATTTCTCCGTCTACCACCTCGTTGTTTTTTTTTTTTTTTTTGGAACAATCCCACATTGTTGTCTAAACTTATAATTTACTACAGGCTATGAGTGGTTAAGCAATTGGGCCAAGTTAGAATTTTTTTTTTTTAAATTGATTAAATTATACTTTGCCTCTTTATATTTGGTCATTTTTCCGACTTTGGTCATTTGTTTTTTCTCACTTTGACCTTTCATGTTTCAAGTTTTTTATTTTATTTTAATTTACTGCTAAAACTAATTCCTATTAAATATTAGACAAAAAATGACAAATTGACAATCACATAAAATTAAATATTTTATTACATATAACTCACACATTTAACACAAACTCAAACCCTAATATAATAGTATATTTTTTATATTATGTGACAATTGTTGTAGTATTTTCTGTCTAATTTTAAATAGAAGTTAGTTTTGAAAGTAAACTGAGAAAAAGTTGAAACCTAAAGGATCAAAATAGGAAAAAATGAACTTTAAGATCTAAAGTAAGAAAGTGATCAAACATAAAGGGAGCAAAGTGTCATTTACCCTAAAACATTAGTAATAGTTCCAAACTGAGATTTTCGATTTTGTTTAATTTGTTTCCATAGAACTGGTTCAGTTCAGGGTTGAATTTTATGAAACCAACCTAAATTGGTTCAATTTTGGGTTTGGTGGTAAACTAACTTACCCAAATTGTGTGAAAGCTTAATTACAGAAACAACATTTGCCAATGACTTGTTACTGGGCACAGATAGACTGATTTAAAATTTGGGCTGGATGGATCCATTTGGACAGCCCATCTGAACCTAGTTAGCGACTTGTGAACGATTTTTTACCCTTTTTTTTAATCATTAAATACAACAATAATCAATTTGTATTAATAAGGGCACTTTGGTGATAAATTCAATTTTGAATTTTTTTTGTTTAAAGGGTCAAACGCGAAAATACTGAAAAATTTTATTTTCACACACCTAATTAGCTCAAGGCACACACTTAATGAAATATTAATTTAATGATAATTATATCTTAAATAAAAATAATCATAATAGATATCGAGCAACACTCATAATATTATATGGAAAATTCTCTGTACACATCTTTCACCGTTGCTGCCACCGCCACCACCACTACTGGCACCCTCTTCTCCCTCCTTCATCCGACTACAATTTCTGGTAAGCCCTCCACCTCTGTCTGTCTGCATTTTTTTCCCTTCTATGTTGCTTCACTTGATCTCCATTCTATCTCCTTATTTCCTACTAGTTGTTGAACTGTTCTCTTTGCTGGTTTAGAAAAAAAAAGCTTGGTAAGGATTAAGAAAAGAAATGTTTGTAATGGGACTTCAATGTCTTCTGGAAGATGCTCAAACTAAAGCTATGTTTGGCTTTAGCTTTTTGGCTAAAAAAGCACAAAAGACAAAATTGGCTACATAAACCAATAAGATAAAATGTCACATTCGAACCATAATTATTGTATTTTTTCTCTCACAAAAACAAAAAAAGCCAAAAACAAAAACCAAACGAGGCTAAAAAATGAAGGCTAAAATAGTCAAAAAGCCAGGCTATTTTAGCTATTCCCAAACGAAGACTCAGAGATATTCAAGATGAAGAGGACATGAGGAAGAGAGTTTTTACTACCAGAAAGCAAATTCATGGAGCAACAAAGATCATTGCTGTTGATCGACATCATTGAATGCAATTGTATATGTGTGTGTGTGTGTGTGAGACGGGGGAAGATTAAGTGCTATGTGTACAATGATTATGAGTATAGGGTATAATTGTAACTTTAAGTGTATGGATTGAAAAAATTAATTAATAATCAAATTAATATGTGTATATATTGAGAAAAGATGTATCTTGAGCTAATTAAGTATTTGGAAATAAAATTTTCCTAAAATTCTTTGTTTATAAAGACAATCTCCTATAAAATGACCAAATTACCCCCATGTATATATATTATTTTCTAAATCCACAACTCCTCTCTCCTTCCCTCTCTCACCACCACTTTCCCTCACCTTCTACCGTTTCACTACCTCGCCATGGCTGAAAATCTCAGATCCTGCTCCTCTATCGTCCACCACCGCGATGCCCTAACGAAGAAGCAGATGGATCGAGGGAGATCACTAGATCTCAGAACCTTCCCAAATCTGAGATTGAGGCAGTCGTGGTAGTCCAGCCACCGGAGCCCTCAGTTAAAGTCGTGCCAGGTTCACCGGAGCCCTTGTCTTCGTCGCCATCATGGTTGACACTCTCTATCGAAATGAAGCACAACTACCACTATTGGCCGCCAAAACTCGGCCGCAACAAAGGCTAGGGAGCCGGAGCAAGGAGATGAAGGAAAAGAAAGAAGTTAGTGACGAAATCCATCAAGATCGAACTTTAGTTCCTTGTCAGTTGTATCGCTCGCTATCTCAATAAGGGATACTATGCACAGCGCATGGGCATCGAAGCTCCGATCTACCTCGCCATCGTTCATCTCAAACCTCACCTCTGTTTCTGATCCACATCTATCTCTCTCTCTCTCTATATATATATATATATACGTATTATATACATGGAATTGCGGTTTTCCATGTGATGAATTTGTTTTGACGGAAGCTAGGGCATTGTTTTTTGTGATGTTTTTGATCGGAGAAGTTCCATTCCATCGCCGATGGTGGATAATTTTGCTAAGAGATCTGAGATGCATTCAAGTTCTATTTTTCTTAATAGATTTGAACAGATAAAAAAATCAAATTCTATTATATTCATTGAACAGATTTGAACAAATAATAAGAATCACTCTCTCAATTTAAATAGATCTAAAAAAATTAGATCTATTTTTTTTTAAGTTGTTATTGTTGTTATATTGGTGAATGAATAGATAAAAATAAAAAATAAAAAAATTGAACAAATATATCTCTGTATGTACTGGATTATATTTGAGTGTTGGTGGTGGGAAATTTCTAACAAATAGAGAAAAAGAACAAAAGAGAGAGAAAGAGATGTGGAGAGAGAAAGAGATAGAGAGAAAAAAGAAGTGGAAAGACGAACAGATAGAGTTTGAAAATGGTGTGACTTTGAACGGATAGAAAAAATAGGTTATAAAATTTTAACAGATAAAAAAATCCAACAGATAGGTTAAAAAAATTCAACAGATAAATTAAGAGGTAAAATCGAAAATAAAATATCATTTCAAAATAACAAAAGGATTTCTCACCAAATTATTTCACAAAAGGTAAACATCTCACCAATAAAAAAATATCCACTCAACCTAATACCTTATATTTTAGTTAAAGCCTTGTTTTTCAACTATATATTTTAGTTAAAAAGCCAAAAAGTCATTATAAGTTGTTACATTACTCTCTCTATTTTTTTGCCTATCTTTTCGTAAAAAGTTAAAAAGTTATTAAAATATTATGTTCCAAACAAGGACTAAATACCCTTGAAATTCATTATTTTGTGTCTAATACTAACAAAATGGGCTAAAAATTTGTATTAACATATTTCAAGTTATAATAATAAACAAATAAATAAATAAAGAATTTTTTTAAGGGCCTTGGTATCAAGATTTTATAGCATAAATGACATGTAATATTTTTATAATGTTTAAGGTCCCTCAACATCGATCTAAAGAAAATTCGATCCAATTTCTCTGGACTTTCCACTCTCCAGAGAAACTCTGGACTTCCCAAAGAAATTCCTTACTCAAGCCTTCATCATCTTCTTTCTCTAGAGAAATTCTAGACTTCCCAAAGAAATTCCTAACTCAAGCTTTCATCATCTTCTTTCTCCAGGAATTTCTCTGGACTTCCCACTCTCTAGAGAAATTCCTACCTTAAGCCTTCATCATCTTCTTGAATTCAAACTAGAGAAACTCTCTCTAGAGAAATTCTTTCTAGAGAAATTCTCTCCAATTTCTCTGAACTTCCAATTTTCCAGAGAAATTCTAAACCTTCCAAAGAATTTCTCTCCAAAGAAATTCTGGGAATTTCTTCATAGAGAATTTCTTTGCAGAGAAAAAACCTCAACATTAATAAAAGAAAGAACATCCAATATTTTTGTTAATCTTTTATGTGAAATGTTCCAAAATTGTTGATTTTAAACTTCAAACCTGAACAAAATTGTTAATTTTTGAAACTAGACTTTACAAATACAAAGCAATTCACTATTCTCCATTTGGAATACTGTATATTCACCATTACAGTGGCCCAAAGAATGAGAGAGAGAGAGCTTTATAGCAATGGCATTTTATGGAAACGAAAAAAAGGTGTGAAAATGTCCACAATACCCTTCGAAACGCCAGAGGAGCGAAATTTGCCCTACTTGCCTTAGGGACCGCCTCAACACTCTCTGTCCCGATTGTGCTAACTTGTGCCCCTGTGATTGCTCCACCACCGCCGGCATGACCTCCCCTTCCTCCTTCTCTCGCTTCACCGATATCGGTCCACATCGAGCTTTCATTTCGGCGCTCTCGATCCGTCGCAATTCCGTTCTTCTGTCCTTGATTCGCCGGAATCAGCAACAAGCCTTCGGCGCCAAGAAATCGGAGTAACTCGTTGATTTGGTTTGCGTTCACAATGCACAAGAACAAAAGAGAAGATGAAGAAGCGAAAATGAAGGAAATCGAAATAGATGATGATTACGCACGTCATAGGATGATGATGAGATCGAGATCAGTGAGTTGATTTAAGAGAGTCAAATTTCTCTATGATATATGGGTGTGGGGTTAAGGGACCTTAGACATCACAAAATAATATTGTAGATCTCTTCTATTATTAAAAATAGGAGAAGGACCTTAGACTAATTTTCTCTAAAAAAAATCAATTTAATGGTTGATCCAAGATAAATAATAATAATAATAATAATAATAATAATAATAATAATAATAATAAATTACACCATTAATCTTTTTAGTTTGAGTAAAACTTCACTTTAATTTCAAAGTCTAAGTTTTAAGAATTTAATAAATCCTTGCAACTTTTATTTTGTTTCAATATCGTCCCTCCATTAACATCTTAATTGAAAAAAATGACATTTTTTAAATTAAAAAAATTGAAATTCGTAAGAAATTAACGGTGTAAATAATTTTTTTTTTCTTTTCTTTTATGTTGTATTTGGTTGAGAGATTTGGAAATGAAAAAGAAAAAGAAAGTGAAATGTGAATAAAATATATTTACATTTTATTTATTTTCACGTATTTTTTTTTCCTTTTCAATTTCTTCTTAAATTTCTCAACCAAATATATATTAGTACAAAAAATTATTAAAATTTCCACATGAGTTGCATGTGATTTTTTCCATCTAAAATGCCAATGGCAACTTATGGAGGCGAAATCACATTCAACCATAATTAGAACAATGGTGTAATTTAATCAAATTAAAGGGGCCACAGTGAAAACTAAGGCCTTCTTTGGTTTAACTCCCCAAACATAATTTTTGAAAAAAAAATTCAAAATTTTGTCTGGTTAGAAATTTTTTTAAATTTTTTTCCAAAATCACTACTCTCTCAATCATTTTTTCTCTCTTATCTTTCTTTCTCAATCACTTTTTCTTTCACACAGATCTATTCAACTACAACAAAATATCAAATCATGTCAAACTCTTAAACTTCAAAATTATTTTCAAAATATACAACCAAACAAATCAAAAAAAAATTCTGAACTTTCTCTCTAAATTTTTTTTTTTAAATTTATTTTAAAATACAAACCAAACACACCCTAAAAACATGGAGAGAGAGAGAGAGTACCGGATAAGTGAAGGGAAGGGAGGTCAGAGCTGGGAAGAAAGAAACCAGAGGAGAGGAGTGCAAGCTCTTCAGTAGGATAAGCCATTACAACCCCAATATATGGACCTCCTTTCTCATTGATTCTCTCAACCACATCATGTAGTGGGTGATTTGACTTCAGCTGAATCGTCTTCTTTACTTCAAAACCCATTACCACTACTACTAATATTACTATGTTCAGCATTTTCAAATCCACAACGGTACTCTCTCTCTCTCTCTCTCTCTCTCTGCAATCTCCGATGATGACGATGATGATGATCGGGGCTGCTATGTTGTGTCGGTGATTTGATTGAAATTGTGTGGTGAATGGTTGACCTGACCAGAGGACTAGACAGCAAAAGCAAAATACAAATAAAATAACCCAATAAAATCTTATTCACATGCGAGTGTGACTCGTTATTATTCGATTGGTCCCGCTCTGTTTGGGATGTTACTTTTTAATTTTTTTCCCCCTGCCCAATAGTAAGGTAGTAGAGTGATATCACGTTGTCGTTTCTCTTAGGTGGGTCCAACGGTTTATTAAATATTTTAATTGTTTATTAAATATTTTATTAAATTTAAATTAAAAAATATCATTTTCTCTATTTAATATCAATTATTCTAACAGTAAATTTATAACTGTCATCAAAATACAAATTGACCGAGAGGACGATCAGCCGATCGACTGGCAACTGTAATCCCTGACAACTGTAATCCAACTTAGCAAGTGTACTGCTTGATCACAAGTTAGTGAGGCTTCGTTATGAAAACCGAAGGACTCTTTCTCTGAAAATAGAGAGAGAAAGTGCAAGAAAGTGGTAAAAAAAAGTGAGTCCTTTATTTTCTTTGGGTCGTGTCTTGATCATGGAGGTCACAGAGGTATATAATTAGAGATAGAGCTCATTGATTCTGCTTTGGTTTTTTTGGTTTATGGGTTCAAGAAAGTTTTGTTTCACTGTAGAGCTTAAAGCTAGTCTTTCTATTTTTAGCTACAATCTTATTTCATCTCAGGTGTTCTCTCTCTCTGTCTCTCTCTCTCTCTATATATATATATGGGTTTTAGATTTTCATGGCATGAACTGTGTGTTTGTTTTTGAACAAAGAAACCATTAAAGCGAGCTCTAATGGCGGATTGTGGTGGCTCTTTACCATTACCAATAGACAAATACAGAAGACCCACTTCATCAATTTTTAGTTCTTCAAGACCGTTCATTGGTTCACTGAACTATGATAAATTGATCATACAAGGCTTTCTTTTGGATTTGTTGAGCAGATTATTTTGATTTGCATATATGTATTGATCAAATTATTTTTCTGTATTGGAGAATCTAGTTTCTATTGTTTGTGAAAGTCCTCTTTAAATCAAAGTGCCTCATTGGAGGCTGCCCCAAATCATAATTTTTTGAACCAACAAAGAATGCCGGTCAAAAAAAAGATGCAGAGGTGATCATCAAGGGTTAGCCGGGCAGTCGACCGGTTAATGTAAATTTTTCATAAATTTTGACTTGAGGTGGTCATCTGGGGGACATCCGGCCGATTGTTCGGTGGGTCAACACTTAAGGGTTATACACAATAAATGGTTGAAAAGTGTAAGATATTTTCAGTTTGGTAAAACATTTGTTATATTCTCAATTTAATATAGGTTTGGTGAAACTATTGGAACAAAAAAAAGAAACTTTTTCTTGAGCACACGCACAGGCACACACCAGATAGAAACTCAAAATCGGGCCACTCGAGCCACAACGTATTCGAGCTACGTAGTGGAGTTGGTTGAAAAAATATTATTTTACTTTCAAAAATTTTAAATTTTGTTTTGTTTTGTTTTGTTTTTTTCTAAATCAACTCTTTTTTTTTTTTACAACGGATATATATATTTTTATTGAGTTGGGTTTTTGTCATATTAATTATTAAATACTAAAAAAGTTTGTTTTTTTTTTTGTCCGAATCAACTTATTTTTTATTGAACACAAAATCAATTTTCATTGACTTTTGGCACTAAGTACCAAAAATTATAAAAAATATTTTTGAAAATATCTTCTAGAAACATTTTTTGCACAAATTAATTCATATTAACTTTGAAATTTTTTTTTCTCTACTTTTATTTTAGTTCTATTAAGCCTCCGTTTGGGAAGTGGGTTGGCTTTTTGGCTTTTTGGCTTTTTTGACTTTTTTTGTGAGAGAAGAATGTAATGATTATAGGTTGGATGTGATGTTTTGTTTGTTATGGCTAAAATAGCCTATTTTATTTTTTGTGGCTAAAATAGCCAAAAAAGCCTGAAAACTATCTTGCCAAACAGAGGCTTAGTATGTTTAAATATCTTTAAACAAAATTTAACCATTAGTATGTTTAATGTTTACTAAAAATAATTAAAATATTAAAGATGTGTTTAATATTGCTAGTACTTAGTAAACAATTGAAAAAGGGTAAAATAGTCTTTTGTTCATTTATCCTATCCAGTCCGTCCAACCAAACGTTGGATTCACTGAAAATAGTCCTATCCAGACATCTAATCCCATGAAAAAACAAACACAGGATACATATCCAATCCGACCAAATAGTCAGGGGGATTCACAGTCCCAGGACTCAAGTCCGATGGATTCTAATCCCCCATTTTCCAGTCCGTCCAATCAAACACACCCTTAGATCTATCCTTGCTTGTAAGTCGGGAATTCAAACCCCTACACTCGTCCCCCTCCCTGTACGTCAGATATTACGATTAATGTTAATGGGTGATTTATTATTTTTTTTTACCACATTAATTTTTACAAAAGGTGAATTTATAATTGTCATCAAAATACAGATTGACCGAGAAAACGACCAGCTGATCGACTGTCAACTGTAATCCAACTTAGCAAGTGTACTGCTTGATCACAAGTTAGTGAGGCTTCGTTATGAAAACCGAAGGATTCTTTCTCTGAAAATAGAGAGAGAAAGTGCAAGAAAGTCGTAAAAAAAAGTGAGTCCTTTATTTTCTTTGGGTCGTGTTTTGATCATGGAGGTCACAGAGGTATATAATTAGAGATAGAGCTCATTGATTCTGCTTTGGGTTTTTTGGTTTATGGGTTCAAGAAAGTTTTGTTTCACTGTAGAGCTTAAAGCTGGTCTTTCTGTTTTTAGCTACAATCTTATATCATCTCAAGTGTTCTCTCTCTCTCTCTTTATATATATATATATATATGGGTTTTGGTTTTTCATGGCATGAACTGTGAGTTTTTCATGGCATGAACTGTGTTTGTTTTTGAACAGAGAAACCATTAAAGCGAGCTCTAATGGCGGATTGTGGTGGCTCTTTACCATTACCAATAGACAAATACAGAAGACCCACTTCATCAATTTTTAGTTCTTCAAGACTGTTCATTGGTTCACTGAACTATAACAAATTGATCATACTAAGCTTTCTTTTGGATTTGCTGAGTAGATTATTTGGATTTGCATATATGTATTGATCAAATTGTTTTTATGTATTCTAAGTTTCTATTATTTATGAAAGTCCTCTTTAAATCAAAGTGCCTCATTGGAGGTTGCCCCAAATCATAATTTTTTGAACCAACAAAGAATGCAGGTCAAAAAAAAGATGCAGAGGTGGTCATCGAGGGTCAGCCGGGCAGTCAACCGGTTAATGTAAATTTTTCACAAATTTTAACTTGAGGTGGTCATCTGGGGACATCCGGTCGATTGTTCGGTGGGTCAACACTTAACGGCTATACACAATAAATAGCTGAAAAGTGTAAGATATTCTCAATTTGGTGAAACATTTGTTATATTCTCAATTTAATATAGGTTTGGGGAAACCATTGGAGCAAAAAAAAGGAACTTTTTCACCAAATTTAAATTTGATGATGGATTTGGCGCAGCATTAGAGATGACCTAATGCACCAACTCTCTCAAAATTTTATTTATCAAGTTTAATGATGTGATAATTAACTAAAATATTAGAAATAATTTTTTTATATTTTTTCTACTTATTAACCAATTATATCACCCATTCAAAAAATATTAGCCAATCATATCACTTACACATTATTGAGTCTAAAAAATAAGACTAAAAAATGAATTTATATATTATTTTTCTGTCTTAAATTTATGAAAATGACATGAAGTCACTTCTAAAAACTTTACTTCAATTAATTTTAAAATTTGTTTTCAAAAAAAATTAATTTTAAAATCATATTTTTAAAATATGACTTGAGAAAATAACTCAAGCTGAAATGTATATGTTTAGATTAATTTAAATTTGAAAATAATTTTTTATAGCAAGTGAATAACTCATTATATCAGTTGTAATGATAGCATAGTGATATGTTTTTAAATGAAAAATATGATGAAAAGTAAAATTGAAATAAAATTAAGTTAGATAACAGTTTATTATTTTCACGAGAAAAAAAAAAAAGAAAGAAAGAAAGAGAAAACAACAGTGTAACTTTTCAAAAAAAAAATATCAAATTAATGAAAAACTTTGTAAATAATAATAATTTAATTTATAAACTTTTCTATGAATTTGTACTTATTTAGGGATGGTCATTTTTGTCTGGTCCGCGAGGCCCACTCATACTCATTCGAATGGGGCAAATTTTACTCGACTCGACACTTATGTGGGGGTAGAAGTGGATTATATTTTGATCACCCATAACGGGGGTGGGGCGGAGGCTGAGGCCTGATATCGCCTCCTTCGAAATTGTGTGGTGAATGGTTGACCTGACCAGAGGACTAGACAGCAAAAGCAAAATACAAATAAAATAACCCAATAAAATCTTATTCACATGCGAGTGTGACTCGTTATTATTCGATTGGTCCCGCTCTGTTTGGGATGTTACTTTTTAATTTTTTTCCCCCTGCCCAATAGTAAGGTAGTAGAGTGATATCACGTTGTCGTTTCTCTTAGGTGGGTCCAACGGTTTATTAAATATTTTAATTGTTTATTAAATATTTTATTAAATTTAAATTAAAAAATATCATTTTCTCTATTTAATATCAATTATTCTAACAGTAAATTTATAACTGTCATCAAAATACAAATTGACCGAGAGGACGATCAGCCGATCGACTGGCAACTGTAATCCCTGACAACTGTAATCCAACTTAGCAAGTGTACTGCTTGATCAGAAAAAAAAAAAAAAAAAAAAAAAAAAAAAAAAAAGAAAGAGAAAACAACAGTGTAACTTTTCAAAAAAAAAAATCAAATTAATGAAAAACTTTGTACATAATAATAATTAAATTTATAAACTTTTCTATGAATTTGTACTTATTTAGGGATGGTCATTTTTGTCTGGTCCGCGAGGCCCGCTCATACCCATTCGAATAGGGCGAATTTTACTCGATCCGACACTTATGTGGGGCAAGAGTGAATTATATTTTGATCACCCATAACGGGGGTGGGGCGGAGGCCGAGGCCTGATATCGCCTCCTCCGATCCAAATCCAACTCAATATAATTAATAATACATATGTATTTATATAATATAATTAGATATAAGAAATGAATATTAAAAGTTTGTGATTCTGTTTAAATATAAATAAATAATAATCTTAAAAGTCTCACTGTTTATATATATGAAAATAAGAGAAATTGTTTAGTGCAATAAGAATTTAAATGGTTTTCAATTTTTTTGACTATTTGAAATATGGTGGGGTATCCGCAAGTATTGAGTATCTGTGGGTCCGGGGATGGGATTGAAAAATTCCATCCGTAGCAGGGTTGGAGCAGGGGAGGGGGTGGGGTTTGAAAATGGGGGCAAGGGTGGGAAATAACATTGTAATCTTTCTGTAATCTCCTCATTGGTATAGTGATAACCGGTTACTCTCCCGTGGACGTAGGCATTGGGCCGAACCACGTAAAATATTGTGTCTCCTTGTGTGTGGGTGTGTTTTTCTGCTTGTTTTGATTTCTATAAGGTCTTGGGCGGGATCCCAGATCCCAACACCCGATTCAGTTGAGAAACAAGCAACATATATACCAAATGCTTGGTCGCAAATCAAATGAAGATTCAATTTCCCTGTTGTTTCATATTTCTCGATGAAGGAAAAGAACGACACAACATTTGAGGATGAGTTCATAACAAAAACTTATCATCATGATCACAAATGAAAGCAAAAAGACAGTAATCCAGTGTCCATTTTCCTATAAAGAGACTAGATTTCGTAACTGAGGATGCGTTCATAACAAAAACTTATCATCATCATCACAAATGATAGCAAAAACACAGTAATCCAGTGTCCATTTTCCTATCAAGAGAGTAGATTTCGTAATGCTATAGCCAGAATGTTGAGATCCCGGAACTCTACCACCAAATGCTCATTGCAGTAAGATATATATATATAACCTCCGAAATGTAGCAGTCACTACAAAAGCTTCAGTCCACCTGTTACCTCATCAACCATGTCAGCAGGTCCTGCGGATACATATGGCCATGAGGATTAGCCCTATGAACTATGGGAGATAAAAATAAAATAAAATAAAACAAAAAAGAAAGAAAAGATATGACAAGATGCATTTGCTAGGCAGAAAATTTATTTGCCATGACAAAAACTGTAAATTTACTATGCAATGAGTTCTCCACATGAAAATTACTATCCGACTCAGGAACCAACAGCAAAATAATAATAATATAATCCAAGTAGAGATAATCTTACCAAGGATAGCCATTACTGTCCTTGAATCTGAAAGAATAGGAAAAAATGATAAACATAGTTAAGAAAATGTGAATTGGATAATAGGCTAGAAACAAATTATTAGTTTTGTTGCGAAGGTTCAATGGAATAGGAGACTAGATATGCAATGGAATAGGAGACAGAACACAGCACGAAATAAAGAAATAAAATTGCACATTGCTTGATAACATATCTCCAAAAGTTTTATCAGGCTTGCACAAAACCTTAAGCACGCTAATACAACACAGAGCAGCAATATGCTTCAGAAGTTTTTAAAAAGGTGCACTGGACAAAATTTATGCCATTATGCTTCGTAATTCTCGAACCTTTAGACTACTTCTTCTGAAAGCATGTACTCAGATTTTTTTTGCAACCATACTCGCATCATTTTGGAATCGATTTAAACATAAATCCAACTCCGCATTCATCAATCAATATAAAGAGTACAACAATGGCTCTTAAAAAGAGTACAACAATGGCTCTAGGCAAGTTCCAACATCCACAAAACCTACATTCCAGAACAGAAGCAGATTACAACTACAAGTTCCAAAAGTAGATTACAACTACATTCCAGAAAACCTTAGAAGTTTAATCCTCCATCATCAACACAAAAGAGATTTGTCTGTTAAATCAACATAGAAAAATAAAAGTTAATAGCAAAGGGAATTAATTTGCAACTCACTTGGTGCTATTTGTGTTCGCCCATCATCAATATGTGTCGGTAAGTTCAGTGCTTTTGCCCTTTCCTGTCAAAGTAAAGAAGAATTTTCCAAAGGATTAGCTCATGAGAAAAAATAGTGTACATACAAAAAAAACTACAATAGAAGTGAAAGGGAAAGGCTAGTTCTATTATGAAAGGCAAGTATTTTTTCACTCAGCAAAAAAATAATAATAATAAACAATAAATAAAGACGGTGGTGACTGACCCCATCGAGTTGAGTTGAGACTGCCCCACAGTAACATGAGGGCATCAAGACTCAAATCCAATGATCAAAGCAAGGAAGAATCATTACCACCCAACAACCTGATTGTGGCAGTATTCATGTGAGAAATAGAAAAGCCAAAATTTCTATGCAAGAAAAAGTGAATGTCTATCCTGTAGAAAATCAAGTCTATCACCAATCACATGTCAGTTCCCACTAAATCTTTGGACAGGTCAATTTCAAAACAATTGTTACAAACTAGCATCATTGATATCTATTCACCAGCTTGAGGGAAAATGTTGGGTTTAATATGCTAGCAAGTATTACATGGGATGTCTATGAAAAGGTTATCCAGTTAATTTACACGATTTTTCTTATTCAAGCATTTTTCAGAAATGCTTATAGCAGAATATTCAAGGGTTTAACAAGGAGTGACAATTGATAAAAGTGGTTCTATGCATAAATGTCAAATCGGGATTCGTATCGTGAATCGAAATAGCCTCATACCGAATCGCGAACCGAATTGAATCGTAAAGATTCGGCCACATTTTCTAAATTACTTAAAAACATATATCTATACATTTAGATATTAAATATGTCTGATGAATATGAAATATTTAGACTTAAATAAATGAAAATGTTATTTTGAATGATAATCACGTAGTTTAATAGGTAAGAAGTTAACAAAAGTTCCTATATAACATCACCATCTAACCTTTTTTTCTTTCTAGATATTTCTTATCAACCATTCTTAATAAAGATAGTAACCAAATAGACAAATTATCAATTTTCAAAGTAACAATAATTAACAACGATATTGATATTTAGACAATAAGCATACACACTTTTCTAAGTAACAGTGAGCAAATGACATGAAAGAATTATTTAGAATCTTTTATTTTAAAGCCTAAAACATTTTAAAAGGTATAACTGACCTCACACATGTAATATTCAATTTAATAAAATAGCAATAGATAATTCATAGTGTAACTTTAATCTTAAACATCTTTAGAAGACATATTATAATTTTTTAAAGGGAAAAAAAATGAGAAGAAAGGTTAAAAATATGTTGGGTCTGACTGAATCTAATTGGATCCTATTAAAAACTTTATGATCATTAAACTAACAACAAATTATGTATATATGTTGGTTATTTTGGTATTAAACGCTATTAAAAGATGTATAATGTCATTTTCACTAAAAAGATGGAGAAAAAAATAGTCAAAAATATGTCGGACACAATAATTTCAAAAATTAAATGAATCGTAAAAAGTGAATCGAATCATGAATCGATTGTGAATCGTACGATTCACTAGACATTCACTTCCAAAATAGATTCACCTATAGATTCATATCGATTTTGAAAAATTTGCGAATCGAATTGTGAATCGAATCGTGAATCGTAAGATTTTGATAACGGAGGCTCTATGGAAGTTTACAATAATACTTGCAACAAATTTTCATAATTTAGTAGTCCATATTGCAAAACACAATACAAATTCATAGAGAAAATAACAAAGAAAGCCCATTATCCAGAAAGGAGGATGAGGGATGAAATTAAGTAGGACATCTGAGCTAAAAGAGAAGGCCAAAAGTTCAAAAGTTCCAAGACAAGTGTCCTGATGAGGAAGAAATAGCAAACGTAGATTGGTAATAGAATTGGCATCACTACCAAAATTACTTAGTTTCAATTATGAGAATATAAAGCAGTATGTACATGCATGTGAAGGACCAAAAAAAATATGATGCAACTGTTCAGAGAATACATCAGTTTCACTTTGGGCCTTGCTCTTTCAAGTAAGACCAACATGAAGGCAAACAAACCATTTGAAGCAGGCCATACAAGCAAAAGTCTGAAGAACAAAATTTTTGCTTTGCCTCGATAATTTATACAACACTCTAATCCCATATAAAAAATGTAATTGATCAAATTAAAATATAAAAAAAACAATGCCCAATTAGAACACATTAATTTGTACTTGGGAGGGGAAAGATTGGGCACACACCTAACCTTTGGCATAGTGCACAAAGTGGTTGTCCCAAGACTTGAACCCATAACTTCAAGGTTGTTAGGCCAAGGTTTTACCATTGAACCAATGATCAAAATAAAATATATGTTTATAAAAGTATTTTGTCAACCGACATTATGTGACTAAAGCCCGTTTTGAATATGTGCATTGTTTTGTATGCCATCGCAATGATCTACATCATACTAACTTGTAAAACTAGCAAATCTTCCTCATTTTCAATTTTCACAACCACCTTAACCTGCCCACACATCTCCCACCTGCATATGGACAAGACATGGTCAGAAAGAGTAGGTTGACAACAAAAAGTATATGAGCTCAAACCTACAAAAATCCTGAATTAATTTGTAAAGTACCTGTTCAAAGCTTTGGGTGCCCAGTGAAGGAGCTTGTTATAGAGACCCAAAGTTGCATGACTAACCACCAAGATAAATTTTCAATAACATATCGGAACAAGACACAAAACCAACCCCAAGGAGAACGCAAATAAACAAAATAAACCAGAGTTCAAGACACTTTCTGCAATTGTTACTAGAAAAGTGTCAACAGTCGAAGCAGGACTCAAAGCATGTTAATGAATCAGAGATACCAACACCTGACAAAACACCCTTAATATCTCAGTCTTCCAATAATCAATTTCAGCAAGGTTTTGTAGACATTGTGTTATTCAAGGTCATCTTATGATTGCTTCAAACAGACATCTAATTTTCATTGTCTCAACTATAAATTCCATTTCAAGAGGCCTTTGGCATTTATAATTGAAAGGAGCAAGCTCAATGCAGATTCAAATTACAGACAAATAAGATTTAGATCTTAAGCATTCTAAGTGTCAACAAAAAGTCTTCGATATCTCGTAACCAATATGCTTAACCCTTGAATTACTTCATATGTTTAAGTTCAAACAAGGACCCACTATAATTTTTTTTTTTTCTAAGAAAAATTTGAGAATCCTCTGCTGTGCAGAACCCTTTACTTTTCCCCCAAAACGCATACCCCTTCAACTTAAAAAACCTACATGTACCCCCTTTCTAATCTGAACTAAAGTAAAAATATGGATGGCATATAGCTAAGTTTATTACCAAGCAATCTTTTCCCTCTTACATTGAAATTAGGGGAAAACTTTACCGCTATAATTTTCCCCAAAAACACGTACACCCCTTTAACTTTAAAAGCCTACACTTACCCCTCTAGTACACCAAACTAAGGTGAAATTGTGGATGGCATTAATGAATATGGTAAAAGACAAAATTACCCATGACTATAGGACTCGTAAACATGAAATTTTTAAAGTTGAGGGGTATATGTGTTTTCAATCTTAGGTTATAAAAGTCACAATTATTGAAAAACACGTCAAGCTGCTAATTCATGGTGGGACTCCACTCTGTTATCCCAGACAGAATTTTGGTTGTGTAACCATTTTCTGTTTTATGTTCTCATTTGTAGGAAAACACATATAGTTCGGAGTACATAGGGTGTGAGTGTTAAAAGTTAAGGGGGTACATGTGTTTTCAGAGTAAAGTACAGGGGTTAAAGTGAATTTTTCTCTTTAAATTATGATGATATTCAGAAACCCACAAGGTTGCTCGTCACTTTAGCTAATGAACTTGCAAGAGCATCGTAATATAAGAATTAGACAATCAGTCTCCCTGCCAACATGAAACCTAAAAGTTCAAATTACTAAGTCAATGGTTGAAAAATCTGCAATTAACAAAACAATATAGCAGCTAGTTTTTATTAAATGTAGACAAATAAAAAATCATGTTTGAGCCTATAGAACTGGTAGCCACCTGCATTGCACAGCAATCTTTCCTTTCCCCATCTTCAAGTCATTCCTCACAACCAAAACCTGCATTGAATAAGGAAAAAGTCAGGTTCTAGTCAATTCTCCTCAACACCGCAGCTATGTAAATATATGCACATATGTGAAGAGAGTGACAGAGCAAAGTGATATGAAACCATTTTGAAATCATCAAGAATGTCTGCCAGCATTTCAATCTCAAGAGGTTCTTTGGGCTGATTCTTCTTGTTTCCATCCACAACTGAGCTGTCTTTAGCTACTCTACCCGAAACAAATATGTGAGCAAGATGCCGTACACTGATGAGGTATCCCAAAGCAAAACAACCAACCCCTAGTAAGAGGGAACTTAGCCATGTTATGTCCATCACATCAGAAAGCAAACCAACACCCTGCATTGTTATGAAGTCACAGCTGGAATCAAGCCACAAACAGACACGTTTTAAATAGTCATGAATCTTGAACCACAAGGCAAGTGAACATAATTTGATTTGACAATAAACAATTGTTTTATGTGTAGATACTTTCTACAATGCTACGTGTTGTGAACACATAGCTAGTGACATGTACCTTACATGTCAACATAAGAACCTACATGTGTCGACCTTCAAGGGAGAGGTGTAAGGTCCATGTGTTCGGTTGTAACCGAATCACATTGAAGGACACATATGCATTTCATATATGCCCAAGTTTCAAGACTTCATTTATTTATTTAAAAATAAATAAAATAAAATTGCCAAATTGACATTCCAGGAGTCTAGGCATCTCACTACCGTAGTGGTCTTACAGCACGACTCGTCACTGCGGTAGTCATACTGCATAAACCCATCACTGCGGTACTTATACTGCAAAACCCCATCACTGACGGTGTTACACCGCACCATTCAAGTGCATAGACTAAAGAGACAGGTCTTAGGCACACTGAGGTCATCAGCACGCACCACGAGACTGGCGTTCTTGTGGCTTGAATTAGAAGGGTTAGAGATGAAGGTTGCGCTGTGGCATTATGCCCCACATGGGGCAAGTTGCTTTTGGCCAATCCTAATAAGCAAGAGACTTCACCATCAAACTAAGATATGGAATCTTAGGAATTGAGACAAATCCTAACTGTCTGCTTATGTTCTAGCATGTATCCTAACAGAATTATGGAATACCGGACAATTGGTAATGATCACATGAGCGACCTTCTATAAATAGAAGGCAACACCACCTTACATCACATGCATCATCTTCCAAAGGGTCTCTCTCTCTCTCTCTCTCTCTCTCTCTCTCTCTTCCCTAGTCCTTCTCTGGTCCTTGATGTCTGATGTGTTCTACCACTCTCTAGTGAACCTCTAACCCTTAGTCAATTTTATCCAAAATAAGTAAATGACCTAAAATAAGTAAAAAAAATGAAAAGTTTTCCATACTCTAACAAGATAGACAATCTTAGAGAGGTTCTTATATTACTATAAAACAAAACAAACTAGTCGACAGGACAGGACAGGACAGGACAATCCAGTTTATAGATTATAGATTGAAAACCTGAGGCACTTTGATTTGAAATCTATACATTGTTTTTCCATCATTTTTTTTAATTCAAAAGTTACTTTCAGATTTTCCAACATGACTTTTAAGCAACCCCAGTGACAAAAATGTCAATCCGTAACTCATCTGTATGAAATTTTTACCAGAATTTAAATCATTCATGATGCCCTCCAACCCATTGCAAACAACTAAACCTCCAAATTCTCAAAACATTGCATTTGTTAAACATCAATTTATTCTTTCACAAAACTCCACAGAATGAAAAAATTTCAAATATATCTGTCTAGAATTTCGAAATTGAGATTCATGGGATGCAAAATCGATTTAAGCTCACCTACTTATTTTGAAGGGAAAATACAATGGGAATTACATGCAGGTGAGAGAAGAGGAAAAGAATTACCAACACATGACCCCCACAATCTTTCATGTGCACCCCACCACCACAGACACATTTGCAGCCCTCATGATGTGTTGGTAATTTATTTCCCTTTCTCTCATCTGCACGTAGTCCCCCAAAATACAAAGGACTGGAAAATGGAGAGGTCGAATCCAATTAGAATGAAAACCAAAAAAGTTCATCATATCAATCAGAAAACATACACACACACACACACACCTATTTTTTGTTTGCATTGTGATAAATTGACACCGACCCAATACAAAATGATTAATACCCAGTTGCATTATTATTACTGATAAAAGAAAGATGAACTCTAAGAAATCAAATTGGTGAGCTTTCTCTATGAATCTCATCCAATAAAATAGAGCAATCAATCCATCACCAATCTAACAATTGCAAAGCAATCAGATAAGAAAATTACTTATAAAAACTCTCTGTATAACATATAAAATCCAACTGTTGATACAAGAAGTCAAATATAACTTTCGATTACAGTACCAAGTACCTGCAATGGGACGATATAGAGACTGCATTTGCAGACTGATCGGCCCTATGTAATCAGACGATTCTTGGACTCTCAAGTAGGCGGCGAGGCTGTCTGTAGTTTGTTTTTTTACATTTATCCTGAATTTTTTATTTTTTTTTTTAAGATTTTTTTTTTATTAACTAAGATCCCTTAATAAAAATTTTAAGTGATCATATTAAAGAAAAATTTCTCATACAAGTGATCATATTAAAGAAAAAATTCTCAGTATGAGGATCAAAATTTCTCTGAATTGGACCGAAATTTTTTTGAGTTAGTCACAAATTTCTTAAGTTAAATTTTATCTGTAAAAATATTGAGAGGCCCCAATTATTATAAAAATATTATATATAATTTATCTTATAAAATTTTAATATCATAACTTTAAAAAAAATTTCCAAAATTTTAATCAAAAACTTTTTCTTTTAAAATGTACTTAATTTTTTTAGATGGTAAAAATGTACTTAATTTATATGTTTTTAAAAAATTAATTTTTTATATAAATTTTTCTAACAAATTTCATAAATATTTTATTTTTAAAATGCATCTAACAAGTAAATAATTGATTAAAATATGACAAAAATAATGATAAAGACAAGAAAAGCAAAAAGAAAAATTAAAACAGTCTTCAAAATAATTTTTTTTATTAAAATGGTTTTAAAAAAAATCAAAAAACAAATTAAAACATTTTTGTTGTGCCTTTTTTTTTATATAAAAAAAATAAAAAAAAGTGAATAGAAAAAACATAATCTTATATGTGCCTTCCACTTTTTAATATTGTCCCTTTCTTCTTGGGAAATTCTAGATCAATGTAATTCTAAAAAATAATGGTGAATTTTACCAATACTAATAATTAAAAGGGGTATTTTTTTTAAGGTCCCTGATATTATGATTTTATAGTATAAAGGACATCAAATATTTTTATGATGTCTAAGGTCCCTTAACAGGATCCAGAGAAATTTCAATCCCAAAGAAATTCTCTCCAGAGAAAATTGAAATCCAGAGAAATTTCAATCCCAGAGAAATTCTCTCCAGAGAAAATTGAAATCCAGAGAAATTTCAGTTCCAAAGAAATTCTCTCCAGAGAAAATTGAAATTTCTCTGAGTACCAAATAAATCCAGAGAAAATTGTGGAAAGGAAATTTGTATGGCTATCCAGGAAATTTCTTTGACTTCGCAAATTTCTCTGGCTCTATTAACTACAATTAAACCCATGTCTAACAAACCCACAAACCCACAAATTTCTCTGGTTCAAAACCAGAAAAATTCTCTTCAAACCAGACAAACCAGAGAAATTCTCTCTATTTACAGTAAAGTTGTATTTTTATGAACAGAACTTGGTAATTGAGTTAAAAAACCAGAGAATTTCTCTGGTTTCAACCCAGAGCAAATTCAGTTAAAAAATCAAAGAATTTCTCCAGTTTCAACCAGAAGATCACTTTTCTCATTAATCTACACTTGGCTTCAATTTCTATTTTTGTGAACTTAAGAATATAGGATTTAGATCCTCCAGTACAACAGCACACCAACATTTCAATAGTCAATGTATTGCTTTTTGTCAAAACATAATTGGAAATGCTAAAAGAGAACAAATACACAGAACTGTACGTGTAACTTAGAACAAAGTAGAACCACACCAAGTACTTGACTCCATACGGGTATCCATCTTTATTGGAAGTTCATCAAACAAAATAATTACTGTGTTAGATATAAACTGTAATCTTCAACAAAGACGACTTCACCTAGAAGAATCTTCAGAAGTGAACTTAAGTGAAACACTATTGACGCAACCAGTGCCGATCAAAAATATCATAGAGTATAACCCAGCACCGTCGGAAGCGAACCTGGATCAACGCTGCACCAAAACACATGTCCAGAGCCGACGAAGTAGCTCGATGTCGCGGATCTTCAGTCCGGCGTAGGAGATAAAGATGAGCGCCTGGATCACGAGGGCTTCGGAGACGAAGATGTATGCGATTGCGATGAGAGGAAAGAAGAGAAGGAGAACGAGGCCGGGAATCTCCACTGGGTAAAGCTTTGGAAAGTATTGGAAGATGAGGAGGACTGAGAGTCGGGTTGTTGGGGATGGCAGTGGGTCAGATGATGAAGATAGTATAAAGGACTGAAATTTCTCTGTTGTATGTTTAGGGATCTTAGACATCAAAAAATAATTTTGTGGATCTCTTCCATTATAAAAAGTGGGAGAGGGACCTTAGACCAATTTTCCCTAATTAAAATTATAAATTTTTTAATGAATTTATAATTGTATTTTTTAAAACTGTACTGAATTACAATTTTTCCTTTCTTTTATACAATTCTAATTTTTAGTATCTTTAAACAACATATTTTAAAAATCAAATCAAAGATACATGAGACATCTTCAATCTTTGACTCAAATTTATATCAAACTTAAATTTTGATAAGAATCACGCAAAAATCTCTCTACTAGTTGAATTTTACCCTTTTTTAACCAAAATAATGCAAACTCAAATGTTTATTTAAAATTTTTTAAATTATTTTATAATTTTAAAATGGGTAAATTACACTTTACTCCCTTTATGTTTGGTCACTTTCTCATTTTGACCCTTCAAATTTATTTTTTTCCATTTTGGCCCGTCATGTTTCAAATTTCTCATTTTACTCCTAAAATTAACTTTTGTTTAAAATTAGATAAAATTACCACAATAATTATCACATAACATAAAAAATATTTTATTATATTAAAATTTAAGCTTATGTTAGAAGTATAAGTAATATATACTAAAATATTTTTATGTCACGTAACTGATAATGTATCATTTTCTAACTAGTTTTTAACAAAAATTAACTTTAGAAGTAAAGTGAAAAAAAAAAAAAAAACTTAAAATGTGAAGGGTCAAAGCAGAAAAAAATAAACTTAAAGGATCAAAGTAAAGAAGTAACCAAATATAAAAGAGATAAAACATAATTTATCCTTTTAAAATTTACAACTCGTTTGCCCACTTAGAGTATTTTATACCAAATAAAACTTTTACTTTAAAGTAAAAATTTGAATAAGAACACCCAAAGAAAAAAAAAAGAAAAAAAAATTTGGAAAAGAAAGTACAGTCTCAATAAATAAATAAAAGGAAGAGGAGGGTAGCAGTCACAAAGTCACATCTTAACTAGAATAGCTACCAAAAGGCAACTCGAATGTTACTTAAATCTAGTAAACATAATTCAACAATGATTTAATCTAATAAACATAATTCAACAATGATTCAAATATGCTAGTATGTACATATTACTGATTGGAGTTTTCTTAAGTGTGCAAGTGCACACCATGTGCCACTTACACAAAAAGTGTAAGTGTAAGGTGTAAGTATAAGTATAAGGTGTAAGTGTAAGGGGTAAGGTGTAAGTGGGTTGCACATGGTGTGCAACCTCAAAAAAGGTGTAAGTGTAAGGTTTAATTTTTTACAAAAGGTGTAAGTGTAAGGTGTAAGTGTAAGTGTAAGGTATAAGGTGTAAGTTGTAAGTTGCACACCATAATCAAACCCTTACTGATTATTCAAAACTAACATGACTACCATTTGACTATCAACATCAATGAGGAAAATTTTCCATTTGGGTTCGTTTTGTTTGTATTTCTGAAAAAAGTTTGAGAAATTTTCTCTACAAATAAATTTTAAAAGTAATCAAATCAAACAAATTTTTCCAAAAAAATTTCTCAAGACTTGTAAACCAAACAAGTTTTCCGAACAAATCTCTCTCTCACACACATCAAATCAATCACTTTTTTCAAAATTCTTTCTCAAAATAATTTTTCAAAACATCTTTTGAAAAAAACCAAACCAAATAACTTTTCGTACTTTTTATCTCTAAAACACATCTCTCAAACATTCTCTGTTATTTTTCAAAAGAAAAACTTGCATGAATAGAAAAGTAGAAGTGAAAACCTTAAAAAGAACAAAAAAAAAAAAAAATAATAATAATAATAATAATAATAATAATAATAATAATAATAATAATAATAGTCCCTAAGCAACCTAGATGGGAAATTACATAAAGCCCAATACAAGTATTAACAGCTATCTCGTTTGACAGTTTTTGCCATCGAATTTGCTCGTCAATGTACAAGAATAACAAGCCTGTAATACATCTATGATTCCTTCAACTCACAGTTCCTAAATCTACATCTTCGGTGTTGGTGTCAATGTTGTGCACTACAACAAAAAGTCTTTGGAAACGAAAATTAATGACAAAAAATAAATTTTATCACCAAAAACTTACTTTTTAGGGAAGAAAATAATATTTTATCTCCAAATGTATCACAAAAAAATAAAATTTCGTCACTAATCTACATACATAATAAAAGGTTAGGAGACGAAATTATTTTTCGTCATTATTTTTATTTTTTTCGTCATCAAAATTTTTTTCCGCAATTAAAAAATTGGGAGGAAATTATGCTGCCAAGTTAATGACAAAAATTTCGTTTCCATTAAAAATATTATTAGTGAGGATAAATGTAATGGTTTAATATAGGCATTTTTTTTTAGCCCAAGTTGAGTGGGCCCCGAACGTCTTTTGGGGCGGGTCCGAAAAGGTGAAGTGTTCCTTGCCGTGTGGCAAG